CGGATGGACCAATTCGATTTTTTATATATTATATATAGATATTTATTTTTAATATAAATATTATATGTAGCTATTTATATACCATATTAACCTTGAATCCGGAGGAATGTGTTTATTGTGTTGTTTTTGTTGTATTTAAAAATTGCACGGGATTACCTAAAAACTGTTTATTTCGGAACGCGAACAGTCTCTATGGGGTAGCATAGCAAAATTTTCCATATGTTGGTATTAACGAAGTACGCGGGGGCAGCTAGTACTATTACTATTATAGTATCTAACTATATAGATACTATCAATATTATTAGTACTCGCTTTATTAGAATACACTTAAAAGGAAATGAATTATTAAAAAATAAAACATAAATACTAATGTGGGAGTTGTCATTCATCTTTGTGATCTTTTATCTAGTTTTACACACATTATGTCACAGATAAGAGCAGTGTTTGCCTAGTGGCTTCAGTGTGTGACTCTCATCCTTGAGGTTGTAGGTTCGATCCCCGTCTGTGCACCAATGGACTTTCTGTCCATGTGCGCATTTAACATTCGCTCGAACGGTGAAGACAAACATCGTGAGGAAACCGGCCTGCCTTAGACCGAAAACGTCGACGGCGTGTCAGGCACAAGAAGCTTATCACCTACTTGCCTATTAGATTGACAAATCAATTGACAATTGATCATGAAACAGAAATCTGAGGCTCAGACCTAAAAAGGGTTGTAACGCCACTGATTTTTATGTCACAGATAATCTAATGTATAATCTTAAAAACATTGTAAATTTTAACTAAAAGATGGTTATAATTAAAAAGGTATAAGTACATACTTATGTGAAATACGGAAATAACCGCAGCATTAAACCTTAGAATTTGGTCTTCAAAATACTTATTATTACGTATTTTATAGATAAGCTTGTGGGAAATGGAAAAACTTTATTGGCGAATATCCGGAACATAAACTAGCACCTCCGGAACCAAACCGACATATGGCCGAACCGTTGGCACACGATACGCCACCTGATTACTGCACGTGCTCTACCGTTTTTGTAATTTTTTTGCTACTAATCATAACGTAGACACACAGCCTAAATTACATATACCGAGCGGTATGTGTGTATTGTTTTAGTCAAGAGATCTAAAGAGAACGCATTTAGTGTGGTGTTGTGTAGTGTGGATTTAGTTTTCGCACTTAGACGCCCATTTGGTCCGCTGTGCGTCAAGTGCTAGCTGAAGCAGCCTCTGCACAAGGGACTCTCTGTCGCTCAAGGACAAAGAGATGTTTATTAAAGAGACAGTGGCCCGTAATTGTCAGTAAATTTAGGAAATTATAAGATATAAAACGTGTATGTGGCATCGGAGCTCCTACAGAAATGATCTGAGGTGGTGGTTCTCAGCTACAGTACTGGCAGTACTTAGTAGTTAAGTAAGCTACATAGTAGGTATACTACCTGTAGCTGCGGCACAAATCTTAAAGACATGAATATTTATTTTATTTTTATTGAATAGAAAATTATTAGATAAGTTATTTAATTTTTTAATATGTGTATCTACGTATAATTTAAAGAAAAACTGTTGACCGGATTGAAGTTATGTATTATTATAAATTTACAACTATTTAACATAATTTTAAATTTATCCGACGTTTCGCGTGCTTTACAGCGTGCGTGGTCACGGTGACAGTCGGTAGTTTTTCTTTAAATGTGTAAAGGTTATGTAAATCAAAGACAATACTACGTATAATTTGTTATAACAAAATTAAAGTACCTAATTATCACTACACGATAATTAATTTTCTTTCTCCATTCCTAAAATATATTCAATAGATCTACAATTTTGCAAGATATTTTATTAAATATTTTAATAATTTATATTAAATTACATCTATATTACATATTACATATATTTACATACACACGATGCTAACTGATGACTGTAAGCTAATTAGGAGGCCTCGAGCGACCCTTCCATTGAAGCCCTCCTAATGTCAAGGTCAAAAGTATTGCACTGGATTAAGTGGGGTGAATGTGTATTCATTACAAAAATAAAATAATAGTCTATGAATTATTATTTAGTGTCTAAGGTAATACAATATATATATGTTACTTTGTAAGTATTAAAATTCCTGCAACTGTGGGGCAGCGCAAGTGATAACAACATAAATATACTCCAGCAACAGAACAATATCCTAAGACCAATTGCAAAAGTACCATGGTTCATAACCAACAAGGAAGTTCACGAACACCTTGAAATGAGAACAATCAAAGAGGAAATCCGGGGACTGGCAGCTAAATACACAGAGCGGTTAATCTGCCACCCGAACGAAATTTTTCGCCATCTCACCATAGAACAGTATGTGAGACGACTAAAACGTCACCTTATTCTAGAGCTAGAAGACCGGCAGTAGCTCTAGGTAGTAGATGAGTAAATGCTTCCAATGGGAAGCCACTCCATATGACAGCACCATATCACAAATTTGCGTAGGCGTGCATAGCCTTAGAGCTGATTGCAAATACGCACAGAAGAAAAGAAAAAAAAAGTATTAAATTTCAATAACTTTTACGCAAACGATTGCTTATTAGGAATCGTATCACAAATCTGACTTCTAAACTGAACAAAATTTTATATATTAAATTTTATTTATATTCGATTGCAAAATTTCCTAAAAATGTTTTCTGTAAAATTTCCGTAATATCTATTAAAGTGTTGAAGATGTTAAACAGTCAAGAGTGCAACTACGCCACGCAAAGGTACCGCTCACGTCCTACCTGGGTCGGCGTTTTCCAGTTTTTTTTCTTAATTTCACGTCAGTTTTTTACGTTGATAGCTTACCGCTATTATTTTGTCATAAACCGTTTACGAAATTACTTGGGACGCTATCGGTAAACCTATTACCGAATTTTAAAAATATAACATTTTGAATTTAGGAATTTCTTCTATTAATTTATAAATACAACTTAAACTATAAATAAATATCAGAAAGGTTTTATCGATTTCTAATATATTAACTCTATATATTTTATACTTTTGGATAAACGAGACACACCTAGACGTAATAAGCATAGCTTTAAATAAGTGTCATACGTCTAACAATAGCAATAATAATTGCATTATGTAATTATTACGTGCCTACGTGCCTCACGAAATTGACCAAGGGTTACCTACTAAAAAAAGTGTAATTACTCTGATTTTCACTCGTAAAAGTTATTAATTTTGACGTCTTATAGCTGTTTATTCTCAATTATCAGATAAAACAAATAATTTAATTAGACTATCGTATAGTATTGGGTAACCACTTCCCTCGAAGCTCTCTGAAACCCCAATAATGGGTAAATTAACAAGAATGTTGTAATTAATATGAACGTATACTTTTAACTAGATATTTTATATCTTTTAACTTAATAAAAAATACAAATAAATTATATCTGAAACTCTCCAGATGAACTTCTTACTACACCATAAAATTGGCATTTGGGACAAACACCTATAAATCAACAATGAGATATTGAAGTTGTTTCATATACCTATAGAAGAAACCCAGTATTGTAGTCGTGTCCCCGTGAAAAAACGATAGGATAGAAAATATCCAAGTATACAAACAGTGACTTTGTTTTGTATTATATCTAAAATTCCTACTTTTGTTGAAGGTTTATAAATTTATATAGGTAATTGTTTATATTGAATTTTAAGAGGAACAGCTTTCAGTCAGGTTTTTTAGCTATCAGCTAGGCAGCTGTGCCTGTCCAGCGTGGCACCGAGGATGTTCGAACCCACGGCCGCTTGTACCTTACATGGTGGGTCGGACAGGAGCATATATTATTATTCCGCACATAGCCGTCTATCGTAACAACAGACAAAATGAATAAAATTCTTTCGCGCATGTTTTTTTATCAAAAATTACAGCTGTGATAAAACCTAGTAAAAAGGTGTGATAAGTAGTCAAAGGTGATGTTTAAGCATCCAGATCAACATTAAACTGATAGATAAATAATCGCGGTCATTTGTCACCCTCAAACCCTTTCGCAGGTGACATAATTAGAAAAAATGGAACAGCTAATCATGGCGGTTTGTTCTTAACAAGGTAAAGGGTAAAATTTAACGTCACCGACTCAAGATTTTTTATTCTCACGCAACGATTCTAATTATAATACCCGGCGAATACTAATACTTGGGCCTTTTTAAAACTATTAGGTACTATTTTTAATTAATAAAAAATTTCCTCGAACTATACAAAGCGTTGATCGAAGGAATTACTATGAGTTTCATGTACATCAAAATCTAAATTTGATATATTTGTTATTTGAGTCTTTTACGCTATCAAAATGTGTTAACAATCGAATAGAATAATGTATACAATTTATTGTTTTTATTTTACTAACCTGGTGCCTTTATAAAATAAACACTTTATGAAACAAATAAATACCATTTTATTATTTATATTCTAGTTTTGGTATATCTATAAGATATAGATATTTGTAAACTGATGATGTGGTTTAAAGACTACTGCTGACACCTGTTGCATTTTCTCAGAAGTACACTAACTTGTAACAGATTGAACTCAGACACACGTGTTGCGTTTTTACTCCGCTAGATGGCAGTGCTAACAAGAAAAAAAGAAATAATAAAACAAATGTAGGAAAATATATTTAATTACACATTATTATACTAAATAGCAACATTATGGCTAAATTTCAGTCTCTCACTGATTTCTATTAACTAAGATAATGTTAGGAGCAGATTATAAAGACGAAAGTAAAATTGAACCGTAATAATTATTTTACTGTAGCTGTGCCCAACCTTAATTTGGTTCTAGCCTGAATTTATATAATTACTCGAAAAATGGACGATAGTAAGATACGAACATATTTTTTTAAATTCGAATCTGTAGTTCCTGAGATTAGTGATGTACAATAAACTTCATCTTTATATTTAGATACAATTGACATTTTTTGCCTTAACAAATGCAGTGTCTTAAAAATCAATTAACAAATGTCTTAATTAGTGTAAAATTAGTAATTTAATCCCTTGCGTTCCATTTCTTCGCGTATTTTTTCTGGTTTCGGCCAAAATATCATAAGTATCACTGAACCTGAAAAAGAAACAATATTTCTATTAAATTATGAAGCATATTATTTAACAATTAATAGGAAAGGTGGATGTAACTATAAATATATAATCGATTATATTGAATTTAAAATAATTAAATTATTTAATGGAATATGAAATTTCATAATTAAGAAGAGAAACAGGTGTTAGTGAGGTTTTTTAAATCTATATTTGCTCTTATAATTTACCAGCAGTGAATACGCCAAATACGCTGAACGCAAGTTGGCAGTGCCTGTCCAGCGTGGCACCGAGGATGTTCGAACCCACGGCCGCTCCTGTTCGACCCACCATGTACATTACGCACATAGCCATCGCTCTGAAAAAATATTGCCAACTATAGAGAGTTTACACTCCAGTGTTATTTTATACATAATTTCATAAATTAGTATTGAATTTAACACATAATAAATCAATGTGTCGTAAAATGGCTGAAATGAATATCATCCAACATGGTTAAGAACCATAAAATAACATTGTTTTTTTAACGGACACCAGAAACCCTGAATGAGGAGATCCCTTCGACTTGTAAAGTTTTTGAGTATGTTCAGGGTTAGATCGGAGCGATCGGATTTGCACATAACCCAAAAAGTTTTGTAACAGGTTGAATAATTTAGAATACAGGTTAAATTGTAAACTAAATGCAGGTTACTTTGTAGAAACCTATGCCCTACATACAATCAATTACCTCAAACATGTTGGAAACACGTCAACAGCAATAGCGGCGAGAATAGAAGCAGCGCATCCCGCGCATAGAGCCAGAATTAGTAGCGCCGTTGCAGCGCCACCTTGTGGTACAAATGCTGCACCAATAGTGGCGAGTCCGCACACGAACATTATGCAACCTAACAGAAAGTTAAGAATGCGGGGTAAGGCGAAAGTCGGAAAATGTCAGACACATTTCTGTATCCGTTTCCAGGATTAATCTCCTGAGTTTGACACTGTTTTTAATCATTAAGTCTTGCGAAGTTACTTTATTTTTAGCTTAAGATTCTTATAAAACATGCTATATGTTGATAAAAAAGTATCCAATATTATATATCTATGTTTGAAGTTGTATTTTATTTATTCATTGAACAATACATAATGCAAAAACTATAAATGAAACCAATAAAACTATCCATATAATGTTTATTAAATAATTAACAAAGTATAACACTTACAATAGAACGTCTTTCTTCCAACCCTAGTGATGAAGAGTCCTATAGCCAGGTAGGTGACAGCAAACACTGCACCCATACCCATTGATATAGAGAAGACACTTGTCGTTACGTGGGCCTTGCATGAGCCATGGCTTACTTCCAACTAGAAATGTAAAAAAAATTGTGGTACCCACATTCGCAAAACTTTTTTTTTAAATTTATTGATTTGTATCCAGGCTTTTATAATTAGAATTATTAAAAAAAATCCCTCCCATCTTGTAGACTATACACAATATTAGAATTAAGACTATAGACAATATTTCCTGCTTAAATTGATAATTTAAATAGAGACAAGCCAACGTTTTCGAATCGGTCTAAAGATGAGAGTTTCCATATAATAAGAAGAGATATTAATCTAAAAAGTAGACAAAGAAGTTTTTTTTTATTTGACTACATTTCTCTTTTTAGATAAGTCGCATTTTTTGTGCGTAAATTTTAATATTAAGTGATCACAATTGTATAATTAGATTATGAAAAATGAATGAAACTTACTGAAGTATTCCTCGACGCTTGAAACTTATTGTGTATAATTTCACAAATAGTTATGCTCTTTTCGCTTGTATCACTGAGCATGTTATTTAGTATATCTGGTACCCACACGTACAAACCGCTTGAGCTGAAAAAACGTCGCTACTGTTAAAATTCGTGGGCTTTTTAAATTTAGTTTCAGTTAGTTAATAGCACAAAACAGTGGTCTTTCTTGTCATAATGATTTAGTTTTTAACAGCTTTGATTATTCATTAGGAATTAACGGTTAACTATTTTAATAAGATTACAAATATACAACGTAAATCCAAACTCCATGATATTTATATTGTAGTGGTGTAATTATTGTTTATATAGAAATTTCGCAATTGTATTTGTAATATTGTCTAGCATATTATTTCGTAATTCCACTTGCACGTGGATCAATCAGTCGCCCTATAACGCCATTAAGTCAGAGGACAATAAACTAGTGAATTCTATTACGGTTTTCATTTGGTGTACCTCAAACACTAAACTGGTACCCACGTGATTCGCGGGCGGCCCGAGTGATTCGTGGCGCCCTCGTGATCCAATGTGAGCTAAAGTTATAATCTAAATAGGGCGGGGCGACTCACAAAAATATGTAAAAATTTGTCGTCAAGTATACGAAGAGAGCGCACACAGCAATCCAGCCATGCCGACATCATCAACAGCACCACAGATGCCTGCTGTAGCAGACACAATTACGGGGCTCATGCAGCAAATAAACAACTCATGCTGGAAGTTGCGGACTCCGCAGTGAGGAACAAGATCAAGGACGTCCCAGAGTCCGGCCCCAAACTACAGGAGCAGGTCCTCGTCGCACAAAAGAAGGACTCCAGGGATCAGAGTGGCTCTGCAGGTTTCATTTCCGGTGGAGGAAGAACGCGAGAAGGTGCGAGGAACCTTTGCCTGGCGTAAAGACAGACACCGCGGGAAACTAGAACCAGTATATCCGCAGGCGGTGGACGGATGTACTGAGGGACAGGTATCTAGTAATCACCGTTTGTTAGTTAGGGATAGTTTATCTAAGTTTACTTTCCTGATAGACACAGGAGCTAATATTTCTGTAATCCCGAAATGGTGTGTTAAACAAGCACACTAATTCATTGCGATTTTAAATTATACGCGGCTAATGATAGCGAGATAAAAAATATGGCTATTTATTTAACAATAACTTTGGCCTTAGGAGAGATTTAAAATGGCCGTTCATAGTGTGCGATGTTAAGCAACCAATAATTGGGGCAGATTTTTTAAGAAATTTTAGATTGTCAGTAGATTTATATAATAATAGTTAGTTGACCTAGTTACTAATTTGTACGTTTGGGGAAAAAGAGTGTAAACTCATAGGAGCGGTGAAGTCTATTAGTATAGCCACCTACGGAATTACTTGACTTCAAAAATACCCCCACCTATTTTAAGGAAGTCCAGAGCTTCTGTCTATCACCATATTGAGACAACAGGCCCGCCAGTGTATACGCGTGCAAGGAAGCTCCACCTCACAGGTATGATTTAGTTAAAAAGAATTCCAGCTGATCAGAGTTAGGGATATGCAGACCATCGAGTAGTCCTGGCCACCCACTACATGTAGTGCCTAAAAAAACGGTGAAATTCGACCTGCGGGACTATAGAATGCTAATGCGATTACAAAACCGGCCATATCCGATACCTAGAGTTCAGGACTTTACTTATGGTTTACATAACAAAAAAGTTTTTTCAAAAATTGATATTTGTCGAGCGTATATGTTATAAAAATTAGGCCGGAAGATATTGAAAAGACAGCGATTATTACCCCATTCGACTTTTTGAGTTCCCAAGGATGACGTTTGGACTGCGTAATGCAGCACAAACATTCCAAAGGTTTATAAATAGTACGATTTAGCAGGCATAGAACATTTGAATAGTTTAGATGATAAGAATATAAAGGGAATCATATGTGTTCGGGTACCTTGATGACGTATCATTGGATCAGATAACAGTAATACACCAAAAACATTTGCGACTGTTGTTCGAGCGTTTCAGTAAATATATATGTCAATTAACTTAGGAAATTGTTTTTGGTCAAGCAAAAATAGATTTTTTAGGATACGAGGTCTCAGAAAAGGTATTAGTCCGTTACACGACAAGGTTCAGCTATCGAAATGTCCCAACCAGAAACTATTGTTGACCTTCGCAGGTTTATCGGCATGATAAACTTTTATAGGAATCACATACCGAAGCCCGAAAGTACAGGGAACGTTAGATAGGTATTTACACGGAGCAAAAAGAACGATAGCTAAGATACAGTGGACAGACGAGCTAGTAGGGCATTTGATTTGTGTAAGGAGAATTTAAAAACCCGCCACTCTATCGCTCCATTGCAAACGCAGAATTAGCTTTAATGACCGACGCATCCGATTTCAGTATCGGCTCGGTGTTACAACAAAAGGAAAACAATACTTGGAGACCCCTAGGATACTTTTCAAAAGGCTTACGGAATCCCAAAAAAGTACTGCACATATGACAAGGAACTTTTGGCGATTTACTCAGCATCGTTTATTTTAGAGATTAATAGAAGGTAGGAATTTTACAGTATATACAGATCTAAACCGTTAACATTCGCATTTAGTAAGTTAAGCTCAAATAAAGAATTACCTAGAAGGGCGCGACAGCTTTTTTATTAGCGAATTTACAAATACATTCAACACGTAATAGGTAGTGAGAACGCCGTTGCGGACGCATTGTCGAGGATAGAAGAGATAACATGTCCGAATCCGATACAATACGTAGACATCGCCCATGCGCAGGCCATACACTAGTTAGCAAATTTATTGATACAAGTACCGGTAGTAGCATACAATTGAAACAAATGAACTTAAATAATTCCGATGATTTGATTTATTGCGAAAGTCTACTAAAAATATTCGGCCATACATTCCGAAAGAGTTTAGAAAGTCTATATTTGATTATTTCCATGGGTTAGCCATCCAGGGATAAAGGGATCGCGAACACTTATATGTAAAAAAGCATTTTGGCCAAATATGAACAAGGATATAGGGATTTGGGCAAAGACATGTATTCAATGTCAAAAAGTAAAATAGTGCGACACACGGTGTCTAAGTTAGGTACTTTCGAGGAAGCACCGTTTTGCACATTTGCATATCGATTTAATAGGACCACTACCCGTGACGGAACATGGCTATCGGTACTGCGTGACATGATGATCGGCGTACACGATGGCCTGAGATTTGTCCAGTTACAGATATGACGGCTGAGACTGTTGCAAAAGCGGTTTATGATAACTGGATCTGTAGGTACGGTTGCCCAATTTTCCTGACGTCAGACCAAGGCAGCAGTTTGAGAGCGAATTATTCATAGATTTAATGAAAATATTAGGCATTCTAAAACACTACTAGTCCCTATCATCCCAGGCAAATGTAAATAGAAAGATGGCATAGGTCTTTAAAAGCGGCATTGATGCGAGCTAACCAATAACGCACTTGGTTCGCAGAATTACCTACGGTGATGCTAGGACGCGAGCACGTGTCAGGCGGACACGGTTACATAACGCACGAATCGCGCTAGGTCATTGTTTACGTTTACCTGGTGAATTTTGTAGCGATAGTATTACCAAAATAGAGAATCCACAAGCGTACATAATTAGATTAAGAGATATTTTAAATAGTATTAAACCTAAATCTAGAGATTTTAGTAATAAAAATATGTTTGTACATGCTGATTTAGGTTCCTGTTCACATGTTTTCTTGAGAATAGACGCATACGGAAACCTTTAGTACCACCTTATTGCGGACCCTACAAGGTATTGGAAAGGAATAAAAAGAATTTTAAGATCGCAATAAATGATAAAATTTCTTACGTTTCAATAGACCGTTAAAGCCACGTACATCCTAGTAGTTTAATAGCAATCAGGTTAGCGGAAACTTAGATCAGCATAAGCAGGTTAATGAACCTTTAAAAATTACGCGTAGTGGTAGAAGGTTAAGCAACCCGTTCGGTTTATGTTTTGATTTGTAAGCAACATACTTAGTAAGTAGGTAATTGCAAATTTAGCGATTGTTCAGCTAATTGCAAAACCAATTTGTATTTAGATTTAAAAGAAAAATATGGAATTCATTTATACTACGTATATAGTTATTACATTTACACTTTGTCATAGTTTTATTTAAAAGTTGCAGTAGTCAAATTTTAGTTTTTTGTGTTTATATGTATCTACTCATTTTTTTTTAAGAAGGGGGTGTATGTAGTGGTGTAATTATTGTTTATATAGAAATTTCGCAATTGTATTTGTAATATTGTCTACGCATCATTATTTCGTAATTCCACTTGCACGTGGATCAATCAGTCGCCCTATAACCGCCATGTAAGTCAGAGGACAATAAAGCTAGTGAATTCTATTACGGTTTTCATTTGGTGTACCTCAAACACTAAAATATTATTTCGATAAATGATTTTAATTATTGAGTGCGCATGATTTACTGGTATGTTAAGTATCTGTTTGTTTCTCCCAATAAGCCCATGACAATAATGAAATAAGATTTTTTTAAGACCAAGCTATTTGGTTTCTAAGTATGAACAGATGATAATACTTACAGCATAAAGACGGCGAACATTGATATGTGTGATATGAAGACACATTTAAGCAGTGGTGGTCTGAAAAGTAAGGAAATGTTCCTCACAGCTCCAACGAAACCACCAGACCTCGATTCTATGCTGCTTGTAACAATTTTCTCTACCTAAAATAAAATAATATGCATATTAGGGTAAGAATATATAAATGTACAAATCACAAATTTTATAATAATTACACCCCGAGAGGAAATGGAATGAAATACATTTTTTTATTATGATGTTTATATATGTTTTTACAGAATAATGCAATCTAAATCATGATATATTACATTTGAAAACTACTGTTGTTTCTAATAATGTAACACTAGTATTGTCAGAGCGCGCGCGACAAATGCATATAGAATTTTTTCAACTTATTATATTCGTTAGCGTTACATATTTAGTAGCTGACCGGACCACCAATTTTGCTGTGACAGCAAATACCTCAGCGTTCTCTCGCCATAAACGATGTTTGCTCTCGAAGTACAGAGACAAACTTGCGTACAGCTCGGGTCTGTACGTCATGATCAATTCGTTTTTTATGCCATCTCGAGAAATAATCGACTAGAAAACATTTATTAACTTTTTTTGTTGAGTCGAGCACATTCTTCGTGTAACATATTTATCTATAGTTAGCTATAGTTAGACCGTGATTTTTGACGCGCAAGTACTAGTACCAGTAACTGGTTAGGCTTGGTTTTAAATGGAATACACTTTTTGAGTATTTTTTGTGCCACAACTGTCCGACTAATCGCAGAAGAATGAGAACAAATCATGTCTAAACAGCTTTTGATCAATAGGATTTCTATGTTATATATTTCTATAGAAAGGTGTTTATTTGTAGTAGGTAGAAACCGAACGTATTAAACTTACGGGAAAATTATCCTTTCCAGCATTTTTGTTGTACGCATACATTTTCGCCAATACTGGCATTGCGGCGTCTGGACCTTTAGCAGACAATAGGTATCTCGGACTTTCTGGCAGCCAGAACAGGAACACCGAAGCTATGAGACCAGGGGCACACCATGACCATATGAAGGCTCGCCAAGGTACTATCCTGAAGCCACTGATCGTCCAGGACCATTGGCCTGGAATTATGATCCAGGCAAGACCTAGAACGTATATTTAAAGTATTGTTTATGTTTTCTAGTGTCTATCAACGTATCATTTTCTTCAGTTACATATGAAACTGTCAGTTTAAAGGCTGGAAACGCACTCGCGAGCCCTCTGTCATTGCGTATCCATGGGCGACGGCGGTAGTATCATTTATCATCAGATGAGCGTCCTGCCCGCCCCCTGTACTATAAAAAAGTCTGTATTAAGTACATTAAGTATAATATTATGATTTTAATAATTATTGATATAAGCAGTTGAAATTATTAAATAATTAAATAAGGAAGAAGAAATACATTTTTTGACTTCTTATAATAAAGTTAAAAAAAAATATGAGTTTTAATCATAACATTTTATGTCACCTTTATCGCTAACTGGTTTCACGTGCAGGCGTTAATTACTTGACTGATAACTGATTAGAGCAATTTAATTCTCATTTATCTGTTTGTCTAGGTCTTCATTTAGTATCAGAGTTAACAATGAACCTAAAGTCATATACAGCCTAATATCTAAGTGGGTTAACTATTTTTAGAGTACATTTGTTCAATTCGTTTGACAAATATACTTAGTTATTTCATTCCCCCACCTTAGAGTTTGAACACCGCGCTCTTATGGGAACAATTGAAAAAAAAAAATCCAGTCACCTATCGTTGTATCTTGTTTTAAATATATGTACCTATATGTAAAATATATCAATTATTATTATTAACTTCGTTTATACTGTTTCAGATTTCAAGCTTAAAGTCAGTTTTAGAGGATTAAGATTCCCTAAGTATTTAAATTTTAATATTTTATTTAAATATCATAATTTCTTGGCAATCATGATTATAGTGGTTGCCTGAAAGAGATCGCTCGCCATAAAGCCAAAGCCATAAGGCCGCCAGTTGCCCTCCTTTTCATTTAATTATCTCAGTTGTATTATATTTCTGTATGCAACGAAGTGTTAATAATTAAATTATAATAACTCCATTCGAATTCTTCGCGAATATAATCCTAAACACTAGGTACTTTTAAAGAAAAAACTTTTTAACCGGATTAAAGTTATGTATTATTATAAACTTACAATTAAGACAACACTAGGTACTTATCCAAAGCTTAACATATATCATATAATCAATTAAAAAAAAGCATTGTTGAGTGCGTATCTGATCTTAACAGCTATTTTACTAGTAATTTTTTGTTAAAGCAAAAAAATAGTAATGAAATCTAAAATTGGAAGTGTAATATTTTTACCATAATTGTCATGTATTTAAGAAAATATAGTAGCATATACTGTAGATATAGCATTATATATGTTGTGGTGAACTTTAATAAATAGAACTAGGCTATAACACAGTTTCAGAGCACATTGACATTGCGCGTACCAAATCTTCGTACCAACGTTCATGTTGACCCATAGATAACAGAATCTATGCAATAACATATTAATCGTGTTATGATCTCCATTAGGAAAATGTTATTGTAACCTTTATTCGCATCACAGCTGTTTTTATGTCATAAATCACTTTTTACTATTCATTAAGAAGCTCTCCCTACGATAGTCAAACTGCGAGCTTTATACGCCTATAAATGAATTGCATATCAATTTATAAATTATTGCTTCATATTAATACATTTTATTGTACCTTGAACTCCTGTATTGCTAATATTACACCGCTTAAAATAAAGCTACCGCGATATGGCTCGGTAATTAAATGTTTGCGTGAAAAAAAAAGCCGTACAAAATTTAAAAAGTACAAAAAGCTCTACTTACTTATATTTTGTATATATATATATCTTAATAAGGGGTTAAGTTTCTATTTAATTTTAGTTTTATTGCTGATTGCTTGTGTTGAATTTTTGCCTTGCTAGTTTGTAATTTTTATGTTATCATATTTTCTTGTATATTTTAAGTGTACATGTCGTTTAAGGACTTATAAATAAATATCATTATTGTAACGTGTACTAAACCGAAGAGAGGAAAGAAGAGCATTTTTATGGTACTTTTAAAATTAACATTCTCATGCTGGCACTTGATTGGAACCCGCAAGGAAAGCGGAAGCGTGGCTGTCCCGAAAATACTTGGAGCGAGGTAAAATACGAGGCTCAAGACCGAACGCTATGGACGCCCCATCTAGGGGTTATGGGACAAGTCATTTCAATTACGTTTGTGGTTCAGTAAATATCATGTTCTGTCCATAATATTTTCAATACTGTTTACAAAAACGGCTAATCAAATCTAACGTATAAAGAAGAATTATCGTTATACAAGAACCATAAAAATAAATGTAGTACCTGGTAGAATAATAAATGAGAAGGATATGAAGGCTGATCCCCAAGCTATAGCTGCCGCCCTACGGGATCCAGTGTGCATTTCACCAAGATAGGCATACACTGTCGCGCTTGATGCTGACACCCTGAGAATAAATAACTGATAAGCAATTAGGAAACTTTAGAAAGGTGGCTTAGTAAAGAAAAATAGTTAAAATACTATAGTAAAAGTAGAAATGCAAAACTTACAATATTAATAAACTTAGTAATTACAAACATCATATAATACCTATATTTTAATAATAATAATAATCAGTGGCCCTACAACCTCTTTAGGTCTAGGCCTCAGATTTCTGAATCTGTTTCATGATATCATCGGTACATTGCGTAACTTTTTATGTTAACTTAGAGTTATGCAGTACGAAAATCATACAAAAACTAACATTTCTCTCCAAACGCAAACTACCACAATGATATTACAATTTATACTCACAAACAGCCCGTAAGTATCCGCAAAATTAGTAGCATCCACACATTAGTTGAGAATGATGAGGTAATAGATAGAGCGGCAGACGCTATCATTGATGGCAGCATCACCGCCCGTCGGCCGAATCGATCACCCAGGTATCCCCAAAGAAATGATGTGCTTATAATACCTATAAAAAGCATTCAATTACTATTTTAAATATCAGACTTATGAAGATTTTTAGGTAATTCACCGTTCTCACTCTCTCTCAATCGCTCTCTCCCTTTTCTTCGACAAAAACGCTGCACACCTTCGTGACGTTTCCATAAAAATTTACCCTCATGCGCTTAAAGAAGTTTCACTTCAAAAATATCTGCTAATTAATAGTAGAGGCATCTAAAGCGGAATATTTTCCTTTACGACCGCGTCTTAAATGCAAAAGAAAAATAAATCCACTTCACTTAGCAAATGCTGCTCCTATGGTACTTTATATTTTAAAGTGAGAATTGACGTGTCACAATCCGCTAGCGCTACCAATTTTATAGAAAAGGTTGCATTCTGTAGAAAAATTGATCAAGAGAATAGTTGAAGACAAGTATCAAGCGTCCCTTACATCTAAGAATCCTTTTGTAATACATAATAATAAAAATCGTTTATTTGCAAAGAAAGTGGTACATTGAGAATGATTAATTATAAAAATACGCACAATCAGCCATTTATATGGCATGCAAATGTCATATTAATTATCATAATAATAAGTTAAGTTATTTATAATTGTTCTCAATACTTATGGTCTAAATACTCTCCCACATTTAATAACCCTCCCCGTGAAAGCAGTACACGGCAGTGATCTATAAATTCTAGGAAGGTGATTAAATAGTTTGATAGCCGTAACAATATTTTGAACACATCGTGGTGCAACACAACCCACAGTCGTCAAATTCACCCCAAGAAGTTTACTATAAAAGAAACGAAATTTCATTGTTATTTTTTTCGTGAGAAGCTTCTCCCTGGTATAATACATAATAACCGTGGTTATAGAATAGGGGCATATTTGGAAGTACGAACATGGATCGTTCACAATTCAAATATGTACTATGAAACTAAAAAACAACCACAATCTGTGTTATGGGAACAGCTAAGCGGACACAGAGATGTGTGAACACGAACTATGGCACTTCATTGTAACTTTAACCTGTATGAAAGTTCAATGACCTAGCTGTAATCGAAAGTTATACAATATTAATCAGACTTTAAAACACGGTTTCAGAAATGTCATGGACTCGTATTTATTTTCAAACAAACCAGTTTGGTATTTTTAATACTTTTGACTCTGGTAATTATAATTGTGTGATATGGTTTTTGACACTATTATTTGATCTATTAATAGAATTATGGGCTAGTCGATTCCCTCGATTGCTCTCTGGACATTTGCAATGACGGCCTCCATCGGGACCTTAATGTAGAGGACACGTCACTACAATAATCAAAAAGATTGTTGGGGCCCAAGATCCAAGACACCACGGCACTATGGAAAATGTTAGAACAACGGCATATCAAAATCGTTTTTACTAATGTTGTTATTGACCCAGTTAATTGAATAGTATAAGAGTGGAACTTTAATATAATGTAGTGTATTTTTTAGTTTGTAGTTTTTTTTAATTAATTTCTTTCATATTTGTAGGTATAGCTGTTATAAAGTATAATACATTTTATAAAACCTGGTAGGTATGCAGATTTTAAGGAAAATATCAAATGGTTAGTTTTATCATTATAATATTTATATAAAAAAAATAACTGTAACTTACAGTTAAGGGGGAAAACGACAGTTTTTTAACTTCGTCGAGACTTGTGACAGTTGCCAACGTCTCCTGGTGCTTTAAATTTGTTTTTTTTTATAGCGTAGATATTCAAGAATAAAATATTAAAATTAGCTGCGGATACGTGCGGTTTCGGAAGTTATCGCGAAAAGTATGATATAAGCCAGGAAACAGAAAACCTATATTTATTGTGGTTTCTACTGTTGAACTAATTAATTGATTAGTATGTTGTTATTTATTAATATCTGGGCGTTTTATCTTTATTTTGCATTCATTTTGCAGTATAAAATGTGTAAATTACACATTAACATACATATTTTTACAAGTACTTAAGTATAAATTTTACAAAATGTGTTTTTAAACTTTAAATATTTTATGAAATAAATAGTAATCATACCTGTTAATTACTTATTGATATATGTATGAGCTTTATTATTGTTGTTTTATAATAAAGTAATCAAAAAATAACTCTTTATTCACTATATTGTCGATAAGGAAATAAAATACAGGACGTTTCTTTAAACTGTTGTTTTTATCATTTATACATAAAGACTCTAATAAAAGCAAAACATCTTAGCTTTATTTGAAGCCCTATTTAATGCCCTATGTGTGTGCAAAAATTCAATCGTCTTTCTTTCTCAGCCCTCGATTTTCCTAGTGCACGGGCCTAGTGAGATGATTGAAATGGAAAAAACCATTCGAATTAGTGTGAGCACGTTAGTCTTTAGTGCTAAACAGTGGTAAGTGGAAAAAATATTACACAAGAACTGAGTGTATTCCCCATAATAGAGACTGTAAGTAGTGTTATTGGACACTATAGTATCCGAATGCTATAAAAATCTAGTGGTCATCGAACGATAAATCCAGTGGCATGTCAGTGATGCAATAACCTTTTAATTACTTCATAAAGATAAAAATAAAAAACATCCTACTTTTTTAATTAGAATTAATTAAAGATTGCTTCTTTCATCATTAAACCACATAACACTCTAGTTTTTTCTTTGAGTCGTTTATCGTTTGCTTAATGTTAAATTTCAATTTTCTTTATATATTGTACTTACTTATGCTTTCTTTCTGTTTCATATATATATTGTTTATCTATGTAATTTGTTTTGGCTTTCTTACGTATATTCTCTAAGTGTTTTGTTTTATAATATGTATGTAAGCTGTAAGTTTACTAATAAATAAACCAAACTGTGATATTTGTTTGTGAACCACTTGTGATTTTATGTCATCAGTAAAAACAATTGGTAAATTTTGTATGAAGTGGCAGAGATAATGCTGTATCTTAGGTCTAAAGAAGTTTATTCTCATTAAAAAAACAAAAACATACTTGTCACTTAGATTAAATTAAAATAAAAACATAAAAGTAAAATACTACACCACCGTCGTTAATGCATTAGAGTCTACCGTAAAGTTTCCTTATGGGCAAGCATTTTGTGACCTGAACCAAAACAAAACAAAAGCCTACAAAAGCCTAGAAATTCAACCCATTAAGGATTAAACCTACTGAATACATCAAGTTTGAGCAACCAAGCAAGCGCTACTGGCTATGCAAGTTTTTACTAAAGTAACTCTTCTTCTTGCTCAACGCCCTTGACTTGCGAACTGGTAGGTAGTCAATGTCAATTTAAAATTTTATCTGATAACGTTCATAAGTGAACTTGGTTACCTATATGATAAAAGTTATTTTGAGTTTGAGTTTTCAGAGAATTAATTGTCGATATTGACGACTTGATTGAGAATTTAAATAATTAACTTGTTAACTTTCTTCGACAAGACGATGTGTAATTGTTGATATTATTTAATTGTGTAAAGTTATATTTAATTATGACAGCCAAAGTTTCTGTCACTCCCTAACTCCACTTATAATCGAAGAATCATCTTTTCTCTACAATTCATTAGCTATTCGATGTTTCGTTCCTACATTGGCCATATATATTTTTATTAAATATAGTCTGTTACGTGTTTATATCACATATATACACACATACATCAGAGTAAAAGACTTAAGTACTTAGATAAGTTTTTGTTTCAAGTAATACCAGTTATAACTAATGCCGTCCAGAAAGTCTTGCACACTTTACGCGGATCCAAATTCCAAAGGGAAAGATATTGGCAACTAAAATTCTTTAGCATATTCCAATTTGCTTCAAAGAGAAAGAATAGAAAGTAACGAGACAGAAAGTAGAATATTTGCTAGAAATGATAAGACTACTTCCAAGGACATGTACTTTTTAAGTAGAGTAAATTTTTTTATAAAACAGGGAAAACGGGCAGTAGGCTCATCTGATGTTAAGTAGCGCCCCTAATGCACACTCTCAATACCAGAGTGCTCGCGGGTCCGTTGCCGGCCTTTTAAGTTGTTAGTCAACTCCAATACAGCTAAATAATTTTCAACAACCAATGCGATAGTTGTTAATCTTACCAATGAACGCAGCAGCATTCAACAGGCCCTTGTGCTCACTCGTCAGCTCCAGTTCACATTCTGCAGCTGTAATGACGTAGCTCATACCGACAGACTCCATAGACACGTTTAGCATGATCAGACCACATGTCAGCAGTACCAGGTGATTGAACTTGCCGTGACCTGGAAACCATATCAAAACAATTTTATAATTTATACGTTTAAAAAGTATACATCCTTCGACAGATAAAATAATAGATTTATATGTGTAATTGAAGTTCTTGATGAATGGAGGAGATTCATAATTAAATTACTATGTAGTTATTAATATTGTCTAAATAAACATAAAAACTTAACACATAACACTTAAGTATATGTATTAGGTACCTATAAATTTAGTATATTACATAAATGGTACAGATAATTAACGTATTCTAAGATAAGAACTAGCGAATGAAAAAGTAAATGTTGAATAAATTTTATGTAAAGCATGTCTTTATTATAAATTTAAGAATAGATAAGTTTTTAATTAAACTTACAACGTATTTAAAAAAGACTGAAAATTTAAGTCAAATTACAATACATTAATCCATGCGTCGGGTTGTCTCTCTCCCTAAAATATGGCGAGGGGACCGATGGCTGGCGCATGGTCAGCCATCGGTCTCTCGTACTCTCGTCCCGTACTCATGAACGGGTGCTACTTGTGGTGACTGGTCGTACTTAAATTCGTGTATGAGGTGATGTAAGTTATTTCGACTATGTTTTTACGTGTTGTTATCATGAATAAAAGTGCGTGCTCCTATTTCACCATGCCTACTGATCATAGAGGACAAATCTTTGTTTCATATTTTATTGTTAAATAACTATTAATTACTTAAAGATGTAATGTGGAACATAGTGTAATGGTTGCAGTTCCTTACAAACCATTTGTAAAACAAAAAAAACTTGGCGATTAAAAAGAGTGGCGGAGAGTTTATTGCCAGTTCTTCTCTTCCGTTTACGCCCTTAATTTGAGAACTGGCAGTAAATGTAAAATTAGAACAAAATGTAAAATTACATTTAATATGTATTCCTTTATTGACGTTCATAAGTGTACATTGTTCCTATTTGAATTTAAAAAAAAAATCCAAAATAAATTTATAAGTTTGGTCCTTGGTGGCTTAAAGAAATTTAATAATTTGTTATTTAATTGAGGGCTAACAACAAAAATTATAGTCGGCTGAAAAGAGCTTGTATCGCATTAATCACCCGTATTCATATGGAATAAATACTCTACTAGCACAAATTCTTGTACATATAGGTAGGTTCTTGTAATTTTCAATATTTAATTTTGCTAAATATGAAATGTGTGTTATGCCGTACACATTTACAATAATATATAAAACATAATAAGCATTGTATCAACAAATTAAATTCTGTATTCGAGTTATACACACAATTTATCCTTCACCAATGTCTTGTAAACTGAACAAAATTATAAATTTGTCATGGTACCATGGTATTTTTGTGATTGACAACTGTCGTTAACATTTAGATTTGAAATTATTTAACACGGACCTTTATGATATTTTATTACATCCGACTCAAAATATAAAACAATTCCATCCCAATTAAGTTATAAAAATACTTGTTTGTTTACGTTTCAGAATTTAATAAATGGGAACATACCAGTCAACTCGAATGCATCTTCGAAACAAACTTCGTTTAATTTTTCTGAACTTCTCTCGACATCACTGGAGCGATCATTATCTATATTTCTTTTTAAATTCAAACTTTCTTTCAGTCTATCACTATCAGAATTATTTGCCGACATCGTAATTCACAAATAAAAATTAACGCAACTCAAAAACGTGTTAATGTGTGTATCTTTGACACCATTTTATCTAATCGTAACAATAACAATTTTATTGTCTCTTCTAAACCGACATTAAAACAAAAAACTTGCCGAATTTTTTTTAATTTTCAGCCAGTTTGCGGGATAATTTAATTTATTTTTATATCTATTAATTTCGACTATTATCTTTTTATAAACTCAACGTCCACACTGAATGATAGCCAGGAATGAACTAAACAAAAATATAGGTTATGCGACTATGCGTATAAATAACGCCCGCGTGTGTCAAAGAATGCACGTGCAGTGAAAACTAGCTCTACAGTGTGAGACATAGGTCTTATTATTATTTAAAAAGCACATACCTTAGGTTATACACGCAATAAAATATTGGTTTTAAGGAAGTTAAATATAACCTTTTGAGAAAGTGCAACTAAATTGTGATACTATTTGGATCGGTCGAATAACTTAAACATGAGTGATATTTAAAGTTTACTTAATGTATAATTGTTAAGTAATGTGCTAATTGATACATTTTAAACTGTGTTACTTAAGTGCATTCTTGGATAATTTTACAAAATAATAAATAAAAAGGTAGAATAATTTTGTCTCTAAGCCAGTAACAATGTTACAACGGCTCATACTTTAATCCAGTTAACCTATAATCATGTTTCAATCCAACTCCGATGTCACAAAATGTCTAAAATAATAAACCAGTGGTGCTTCAACGAAATGCGTCTGTTTTATTGACAAATATCGAAGATTTTGGGTTGCTTTCCTCACGTTTATCTTCACCGCATAAATAAGTGTTAAATACGCACATATGAACAAGAAATACATTAGTAACAAAAGATTTTTGGAGCCGTGATCACAAAATGTATAATAATTATGATATGACTTAGGTATATCAAGCAAACTTTTATGTAATTTCAAGAGCTGTCATTTTTTTCTGAATGAAATTTGACATATTTGACTAAAACTTAAAATAAATATTTATTATATATAGACTAGAATAGACGTCGGAGGTCCGGCGTTGCAACAATGAATATTCTATGTCTGCAAATATGGTGAGGAAACCCGCACGACTCAAAAATGTGCGTACCTATGTCAAAATCATTAACGGAACACACGGTTTTTTTTAAATTAAGATTACGTTTTTATAGATAAAATTTAGAAAAGCACAATTGTTTGTGAGATGTTGATCAATGTTGTAAAATTATTTGTGAACTTATTACATTGTTTTTCACGTCACACAAACAGATACAAAAATGCATTAAATCTTGCGTATGTGTACTTACATAGATCAATTCCTTACTTTAATACGTATTATAAGTAAACTTCACACACACTAAATTTCATGACAGATAATAATTTGTTAGCATATAATTAAGGAATAACATACATACATACATACTACATAAGATTATGTTCTGTTTATATTCCGAAACGTTTTGCCAACACGACTAACGGATATAATATAGGTTTAGATTAAAATTATCAAATTAGGATTAAAACATAATATGACCATGTTTCCGGTCTCAGTTAATGGGATTACAATCATGGTCATTCTGAAGAAGCCTCGGCCTTGCATTGGAAACCTGAGGTAAATTATAAATAATTAATATTAGTAATATATCTTTGAAGACAGTAAATCCGTTTGTTTAAGCTTACACTTGATTGGCTTCCGTTTAGCTTGTACCTTGCCTAAAAGAAATAAGGCTAATGATTTGATTAGTAGTAAATCGACAAACACAGAACATATAACAAACTAGCCCGTTTATTTTTTTTTCATTTGCCTTAATATAAATAAAAAAAAGTGCAACAAAGTACACATGTCAGCAGTAAAAATTCATTGGCAAACTATATTTAACTCTTGTTTATATTTATGCAAATGTACAACTTTTGATTTCCGAGACTTAGAGGAAGGAAAGGTAGATAATATGTTAGGAATTTAATAAATTTAATTGTCAACCTTGAACAGCAACATCCGAAAAAATAGTCGAAAGCACTTCTATTTGCAATGTGCGAACTGTAAACGAAATGAAACGAAACAGGTCTTGCAAGAATCGGAATGTGAACCAAATAAGGGTGAAATGTGCGCCTGGATCTATGGAGAAATCCGGTGGTAGGGCCCGGATGTATGTAATCGACAGAAGTTTGAGAGATTCGCTCAGTTACACACAGAAGGCAGTAGCCGTTGATTATAGATCAGTCTTCTTGCTCCCCAATAAGACTACTTGATGACCTAGAGTATTCCATATTAGTAATTCATGATTTTTGAAGTGAAACTTCTTTATGTGAGGGTAAAATTTTTAAAAACGTCAAAGATGTGCAGCGTTTTTGTCGAAGGAAAGGTAGAGAGCGATTGAGACCGATTGAGAGAGAGTGAGAGGGGTGAATTACCTTATAGAAATTCTATTTTTAAAATTAAAACTTCGTAAACAGAATTTATGAAATATTAGTATTTTAAATTTTATGCAAAACAATTTATTGAAATCTCAAATGACGAATTGTAAATTAAAATGCCACGTGTTTTTATTATGGAAGGAAAAATTAAATTTTTAATTTGTATTAATTTTCGACACTTAATATTTTAATGACAATTAAATTCATTAGGTAAATTCCTAAAATATCTTCCTTTTTCCCTCCCTCGTAAGTCTCGGAAATTTAAAGTTTTAGATTTGTATAAATATGAACAAGACTTAAAAATTAGTTTGCTTAGGAAGTTTCACTTCTGACATGTGTACATTGTACGCACGTACTTTTTTTTAGTTATAAAAGTAACCACGTCTTGGCAGTACATTGGTCTACGTTAATCAATTTTATGAAAACTTCCTTGCTCCTAATCTTGTAATTGGATCAGTTCCGCATTATTGAAATGGGCCACCATCGATGTCGAATTAGATATATGAGGTACCTAGTTCGGTCGCTAAGTTACCAAGAATATAATATGTCACTAAGAATCTATGAAAAAACTTACGTAGACAATATATGAAACTCAACCTGAGTTTAACCCCTTGGTATGGGACATACACCTAAAATTAATCGGTGGCACTACAACCTTTTTAGGTCTGGGCCTCAGATGTCTGTATCTGTTTTATGATAGCACATGAAGTAGGTGCCTGACACACTCCGTCGATTTTTTATTCTAAAGGCCCATTCAGATGGAGAGAGTTTCTCGTCTCGAAGATACAGTTATCGAAAGAATATAAAAAAGTTTCTTCGTCTTAACATTCATACCTCTCCCTCTTCCACTTTGGCGAGAATTCCCTCGCAATGGAAAATTTATTGTGTCCGTGTAAACAGAATTTCAAAAGCGAAAATCGTATTTCGAGGTTTTGTGCCAGTTGCTACCACGAGTGCAGTGCGTCGTAATTAAATCAAATTTTAATTAATTTCTTTGGGATCAAATCCCTCAACACAACTCTCGTAAATGCATTAAGGCCCATTTAGATGGAGAGAGTTTCTCGCACGTTTTACTTCGCACGTACGCGACTATCACCAGCAATAATAGCCCTAGGCTCTAGCATTATCTTTTAAAAATGTTTACATACAGGCAAGAACAAAATTCTCACCTACGATTATGTCATGCGAGATTCGCCAGTGATTTATCGTTAGGCGATGATTTCCTGCGTCTGTTTACACATCGAACTTTTAGTAAGAAGATTCTTTCTTAAGAGAATCTCGACTAGTATAAACACGATCTCGTATGACTGTTTTTTATGTTCTAACGAGTATCATACAAATCGGTTTGAACCGTTTTGGGTGCGAGATTTTCATACGAGTTTAGTGATTACTAGGGTAGTGTTCTCAAAAATCTCACAAAAATCCTTTAAATTTGGCGATAGTATTAAGGTCATTGAACTCTATAGAAGTTACAAGTGTGTGTATAACACGGAAAATTAAAATTAATAATACCGTGATGTGAGAAATGCAGCTCTTAAGGCATGTCGGTTTCCTCACGATGTTTTCCTTCACCGTTCGAGCGAATGTTAAATGTGCACATAAAAAGAGAGTCCATTGATGCTGTGGGGTTCGAACCTACGACCTCAGGGCTGAGAGTCGCACGCTGAAGCCACTAGGCCAAGACTGCTCCGGGGCAGACACCTAAACATCTTTATCAATGTTATTCTATTTATTTGGGACCTAGCCCTTCGGAAAAAGGCGTGATAAATAAATAAAATTCCTTTCAACCCTTTCGACGAAGGAATTTTAGCGAATTTCGGAAACGCACTGAGCCCATGGAATCTAAACGGTAATACGCACAGCACCGTATATGACCTGGTGCATATGTAGAGTTTCTTACTTATAAATATTTCAATAATTTTAAGCTATACCGATCTATATTTAGCACGGAAAGGCTTTACATTTCAATTTTCCTCATTAATTAACCTTCAAAAATTAATATTAAATTATAATTAAAAACTTTTAACTGATAAAGCGGAATTGATTTACCTAGCTCATTATTAGTTTTTACGGATAATTGGCATATAATTTATAATATAAACCCTTAAGTATATTGACCTATGTCTGATTTTCAGTAATCTGTTATCTTTATATATTTTTAGCGTAATACGAAGTTCCTGATATGTATAATGTATATTTTCCCTTGAGGCAGATACTGTTCAATTATGATTCGGGCCATAAACAGTTGCGAACTACGTCGTCAGATATTATGTTAAACAAAATATATGATTCCTTGTATAATGATGCCACGTGTTAAAGATATCAGGTGTATTACATTACATAGTTGCAATTAACAATGTTATTTTGCGCATCTTTGCAATCGGCGATAAAAATAGCTGAATTAAATATTGTACCAATACACTCCGTTGGATTTTACATGCTATAATAATCTGTGCAGTGATGGCCTAGTGGCGTCCGACTCTCATACCTGAATCGTCATCCCCAGTTCGACTTTGCTCGAACGATCAAGACTTGCCTTAGACCCAAAAAGTCGTCGGCGTGAGCCAGGCACAGGA